CACCATGAAGGGTCTAATAAAGAATATTTGTAGCTCAGCGTTGACATGAGGTACATTCTGAGCCTGGTGCTTTTCTTGTAGATGTTTTCATTACCCAAACAAGGTAACATCATCAGTGCTAGTATCAAAGGAAGGAAGGAAGGAAGGAAGGAAGGAAGGAAGGAAGGAGAGAAGGGTTGATATATGGGTCCTTGGTGCTCTCTGAGGTTGCTTGTTTTCTTGAAGATGTTTCATGACCCAAACTAGTAACATCATCAGTGCTAGGACCAAAGACAGGAAGGAAGGAAGGAAGGAAGGAAGGAAGGAAGGAAGGAAGGAACCCTATAGCTCAGGGTTGACAGGAGGAGCTGAGTCCTTGGTGTTCTCTGAGCTTGCTTGTTTTCTTGCAGATGTTTCATAACCCAAATTAGGTAACATCATCAGTGCTGGAAGGAAGGAAAGATATTTGACCTAAACTAGCATTGACTAAACATCAATGCTAGTACCGTAGTTAGGTAGGTAGGTAGGTAGGTAAGTAGGTAGGTAATAAGGAAGGAAGGAAGGAAGGAAGGAAGGAAGGAAGGAAGGAAGGAAGGAAGGAAGGAAGGATGGATCAGGGTTGACATGAGGAGTCTTTGGTGCTCTCTGAGCCTGGTAATTTTCTTGCAGACGTTTCATTATCCAAACTAGGTAACGTAATCAGTGCTATGACAGGTCTTCCTAACTCACCTCCCGGAGTTCCATGGTGACATAATGCTGCAAATCCTTTGCCGCCTTCGCCCGGGTCTCTTCATTACGGCTCTTGAGGCCACCAGCAAATTGCTGGAGGATAATGACCGTCCCAGACATGGTAGCATGGAGTCTTCCTGGGTTTTCCGTTGGGGGGAGAAGCAGGCGCAGCCAAATTTTATCCGGAAGCAACCTAGGAAGGAGAGAGAAGAGAAACATTCAAATCTACCCATCTCCTCTGCAGTACAGGGAGCCCTCGACTTACGATCAGTTGAGCCCAACTTTTCTGTGGTTAAGTGAAACACTTCTTAAGTGAGTTTTGCCTCACTTTACACCCTTTCTTACCACAGTTGTTAAGTGAATCGCTGCAGTGGGAAAGTCAGAAATACGGTTGTTAAGTGAATCTGGCTTCCCCATTGATTTTGCTTGTCAGAGTCGCAAGGGGAGGGGTTGTCACGTGACCTTGGGACACAGCAACCGTCATAAATATGACTCGGTTGCCAAGAATCCGAATTTCGATCACAGGGATGCTGCAGAAGTTGTTAACTGTAGAAAACAGTTAAGTCACATTTTCATGCTGTCGTAACTTTGACTTGTCACTAAATGAACTGGACGTAAGTTGAGGACTACCTGTATTGGAGAAAAGTATCTGTTATCAGCCTTGAGCAAGGTCCACAGGCAAGGTTTATTCAACCATGGGAATTTGCAAACTTTATTTCATTTCAATTATTTTGTCAAACATGTAAAAGCTAACAGGTATTGAGTAAAAACATAAATATGAACACAGTAAATGGGTACGAATAAACGGGAGACAGTAGGAATAAATAATAAATAAACGGAATAAATGAAGAATAAATGGAGACAGTAGGAATAAATAATACATGGAATAAATAAAGAATGGAGACAGTAGTAGAATGGCCAGATGGGGCCATTCTCGGCATGTCCCTATATTGAGCAGCTGCCGACAGGCCTTCAACATCTGGCACCCCACCTGCAGCCTAAAAGCAGAGCTGCTGTGGCCCTGGCAAACCTACCTCAGGAAGGACTAGAAACTTGAGCAGGTGAAGCTGGCTAGGAATGAACCTCCACCATACACATACACTGACCCCCAGAGCTGGGAAATTTGGGGGGGGGAGACACACAGCTGGTAGGAGCCCCATGACTGACAGGTGAGGGGGGGCAATTAAGTGGGAGGGGCCTATCAAGAGAGACAAGGGGTTTTCAAGGACCAGTAGGTGGGGCCTAGGGAGTGGGCGGGGCAACTGTCTGAGGAGAGAAGTGAAGAGGTCATGGCCGCCGCCTCAAGGCGCCAAAACCCGCCTCAGAAGCTGCAGAGCGGCGGCGGAGGGCAGCAAAACGAGGGGAAAACGGGCAGGCGCTGAGGGGGATTCTCGACACTCACAGCCTTATGCTCCCCCGCCTCACTCCTCCATCTTCTTCCTCCTCCGCGGCCTGCTCGACTCCGCCATCCCTTTTCTTGTCTCCACTTTTTTCTTCTTTTTATTCCGCCCTTTTTGGATCGCCGGCCGATCCGACCAATCCCCTTCCCGGCACCCGAAGACGGACAAGGGCGCAGCCAATAGAAAGGCGGGAGAGAGGCCGGGGGGGGGGAGAGATTGAGAGAGAGAGAGGCGGGGAGAGAAATGACAGGAAGTTAGTCCCGCTCTCCCCGTCTTCTCCTAGACCAATCTCTTCCCGCGGCGGGGGAGGGGGGAGTTGGGCGTACAGATTGTCCCAATCAGGAAAGAGGACAAAAAGATTGATACGCGGGCGGGCCAACAAGAGCGGGATAAAAAAAGCATTGGACGCCGAGTGAGGTCCCGCCGCCAATGCTTCCGCCCAAATGGCACTCGGAGCTAGGATTACGCGTGCGTGAGAAGCCTCGCCAACTTCTCGATGGTTGCACAGAGCGGCTTCCTTTTACTTTTCAGAGCACCGCCTCTTTTCACCGTAATTACCAGATTGACGCGCACGCAAATGATTTGTCCCCATACACATTCATTTGTTCAGCTAAATGTAAGGAGCTTAAATGTAAGAACCAGTAAATTGTATCTTGTCCTTTTATGTACACTGAGAGCATAGGCACCAAAGACAAATTTCTTGTGTGTCCAATCACACTTGGCTAATAAAGAATTCTATTCTATCCTCCCCTCTTGTCAGATTTTGGTTGGATGGGAACTAATCGAGAAAAGCAACCTGGAATTAAGGAGAAACTTCCTAACAGTGAGGACAATTAACAAGTGGAATGGTTTGCCACCAGAAGTTGTGGGCACAGTTGTGGAGGCTGTTAAGAAGAGACTGGACAGCCGTTTGTCTGGAATGGTATAGGATCTCCTCCTTGAGATGGACTAGAAGATCCCCTAGGCCCCTTCCAGCTCTAGTCTGATTGATGGATTGATTGACAGTGAAAACAATCAGTGCAACAGCTTCTATTCAGAAGTTGTGGGTGCTCTAACAGTGGCAGCTTTTAAGAAAAGACTGGACAATCACTTGTCTGAAATGATATGTGTCACCTATTGTAATTAGCTGCTGAAGCCAAGAAGTGAAGTCTTCAGTCAGGTCCGCTGTTTAAGTGGGATAATTGGCTTAAATTGATTGGTTGCCTGGCTGACAGCCTGCCTATAAAAGGAGAGCTGTCAGCCAGACTGTTTGCTAGTGTTATTATTGACTTGCAATAAAGAGCTTTAGTTCAACATCACTCCTTCCTTTCATTCAACCCAAAATCTAACAGTATGGGTCTACTTGAACAGAGCAATAGCAATAGCAA